TTGATACACCTCATTAGTGGCATTGTTCTTCCGAAAGCGATTATCTCTCCTGAATCCTTGGGCCCGATTACTCATAGTCGCTAAACGTCTGTGCAAGTTGGCCAAGATCATCAAACTCCATGCCGAACAACTTCTCCCCGATATTCGCAACATTCTCGCTATAGCTATTCGGGTAGTTGATCATCTGGTAAATTCAGAGAATAACACATATTCTTGGTTTTCCGAATGCGAAGATATTCCAATGGTGTCTCATTTGTTCTCATCCTCGGACTCATGAGATCGACCAACTTCTTCTCATTAGTACCCGTAGAAATATGAATGAAACTTACGCTCTAGCTCTACCCACGCAATACCAATGGAATGAGTTGGTAAAGACGTGAACCACGTGAAAGCTGGTCCTGTAAGAGACAAAGGAAAATATCGAATCCTCCAAGTTTCATCTCAAGCGGCTTCTCCAAGTCGCATTAAGTACCGACCGACGTGTTTCTATGGTACTAGTATCATCTTGACCGTAAAACTTGGTCAAATCTGTTGGAGGCTTCACCCTTGGAGGTAACGCCACTTTGTTGTACCACTCTGGATAAGGAGACTTGTATGAATAGGATTGATTTTTTGGCTTCAAGCCAAACTGATTCTGCATCATATCAGCCATCCTGTGCATCAAAACATCAATGCTCGAATCTCGATTTCCCTTGTACCGCACTCCGTAAGGCAACTCAAGCACTCCTATACCTCGGATTTGGCACAAGATTGATAGCATTGTAATCAATAAATTCTTGATACCCATCTCCATACATATTCTTCTGCAATCTATTTGATGCTGGAGAAACTCTATAAGCTGAAAGTGGCACTTCTCCTGTGGTACCAAATGTTACCTGGCCATAGGTGGGATGTGATTGCTTTTTAGTGTGAGTCAATCCACCTATATTTGAAGTCGATGCTCCTTCTTTTCAACAGCTTCTCTTGATGCTTTGGAACATTGAAAAGTGTCGGTCCACCGAGTGGGCCAACATTTTCTTCAAAGTATTTATCAACCATTGACCAAAAGTCTCGATCATGATTGCCCGAAAGGTATTCAGAAAAGCTGTGTGATGGTTTGTCATGGTTTCTCCCATAGCTTTATAAACCAGGGCTGCCATCTTCTGAGCATCCTCCTCTTCAGTGTAATCAGTTTGATGTGGAAGAAGAACCCTTGGCATTGACTGCTTTTGAAACACTTTGTTGCTCTTGTTTTTGGAAAAAGACATCAAACACTTCCGTTGGTATTGCTCACATGCTTGTAGCACTAAATCCCTGTAATTATCTGGCAATTCTGCCATGCTCACATCCAGAACATGATCATTGTTGATCTTAGACGCCATCTTGAACTAACAGATGGTCCCACTAGGCGTGCCAAAAAGTGTGTTGACACAAAATGTGACGCACTGTGCCTCACACACAGCAAGCCGGAAAGCGTGGCTTCAATCGGGTGCCCGGGTGCTTCGTGATCCGGAAACGTGCCAGTCAGTTTGACCTGAAAAAAACTAACAAGGGATAAAACAGTTAAATGCCAAACCGGAACATGTCGGGTGAGACCAGACAGTTCCATATATACGCCCTCGGTTATTTACAACGACATATGACTATATGAAGTCTGTTCGCCAACAAGTTTATAAACCATTCGCTAATCGTAAGATGAACACACGTAAAGATCCGATTGCCGAATGCATGTGCATGGAAGACATGTTTGAACAAGTGAAATTAATTATGCGTTAATGCATATCCAAGCTCAAATGATCCGGTAGAGTTGGGGTCCATGAAGAAGGAACGTGCAAATAAACACGATTAAGCTAATCTAAAACACCGCATCCGCCGCAGACGACACCTAGTTTCGTCAAAGCTTAAATGTAATTAACATGCATGAACCCACAACATGTGACAATCTAGATTAAAATAATTCAGCCATTATGAGCATGTTATCTATTTGCAAAGGTAATATGAAAGTAATGATCATTGAAGCACTAATAAAACCATAGGAGAGGGCGAACAATATCAATCTAGATTGGGCGGAAGTGTGTTACAAATATATAAAATATTTAAAACATGCAACACAGGATAACTTAATGAATCTATTTAGATTTTGCCGTATCTAATAGAGCCGATAACCTGTCTTGCTTTCACTAAGCATATTGAGCAAACGTCGCCGACGGTATCTACTCATAAACAAAGTATAAGCAAAGACTTCTTGATTGTCAAGGCAAAGACCCGCCGCACGATCATTGAAAACAAACAAGACTACTTGCATCACGTCTAAATCCACCGCATGATACTAAACATGATAACAAGGTTGTCGGAACTTACGGAGGTCGACGGATCGATGACTCCTCTCGAAGAACTCGACGACACGACAAAAAGACTCGAAAGTAGGCACGGGGCCGGTTGTATTGATTTGGTTGTGAACCCCTATTACAATGGCCGAGGGTCAATATTTATACCCTAGACAAAACACGAGTCCTAAAAGACTACGATTTACAAAGGAACTCTTAAACAAACTTGGAAACTACGATTTGTTGCCCTAAACTCTCAGAGTCCTTTACTATTACAACTTTCATCTTTTCGATCGGCTTTGCTTGCCATCTTCTGCTTTCCTGAATGGAGTCACCACCTTCTGAAGTAACCGACCGCACAAACATTTAGCCGACCGCTCGTTTTGTTTGCCGAATGTCCTTCTTCCCACATGCGGGCCCACCTGTCATCTTCCAAAGTCGACCAAAATCCAGTGTTAACAAGCGCATGTCGTACTTATAGGCACGAGGTGGTGGAGCCTAATAATATCTTGGCAAAATTTTTGTGTAGGGCGTCGGAGAGAAACGTGTTATATGCTGAATGACACAAACTAACTCGGAAATACGCCCAATATAATTATGAAATCGTGCTTCTTTGTCATTGGACACCGTAACTATTAAAATATTAATTTTCGCAGTTTGCGGGATGAGAAAGGACAGTGAAAAGACCGTATTGCCTCCTGTGGTCATCTACCTTCTCCCGCCTCCATCACTGGTGCATGTCCTCCCCATCGCCGGCGGCCAGGAATCGCTCCGGCCAACTCCAGCATCGCCTGGTTTACGCTCAGTTTGCTTATCTTAATTAATTGAAAGCAGAATTCCTGCTATCGCCTTTTAAAAAATATTTGAGCAATTTTCACGAGAGTTCAAATTCCCATCACTGAGAAACGTCTTCATTTCCATCGCGGATGTACCGAAACTCCATCATCCCAACACACGGATGGAAACAAAAGATTTCCATAGGCCACCGCGTCTCACTGCTCTGCAAATTTGGGGCGCGTGTGACTCCTGGGTGCTCCTGAGCGGTGAGTCCCAATCTCTCCTCCAAACATCGATTCCGTGAAATTCTAGGAGTCTTGTTCCCTAATCAAATTTGAATTTATTCTGGTGCTTGGTGCAATGAGAGTCCCGATCGAATTAGGCGTGGAAGCATTCGATTGGTCATCTCTTGCCCCCAAACGGCCAAATCTATTTGCATTGGTTCGCGGGATGGGCAGACTCACCATGCGATTTTTAGGGGCCCAATAGCTCTTTTCTGATCCAAATTTAAGTGTGGGGTTAAATTGGTGGATCTGCCATGCATGTATGTAGATGTAGATGTAGGGCGCATAACACCTGGAGCTCATGATGCATGCGTAAAAGAATTTAAGACTAGGAAGTGCTGGGGGGCGTGTAGGTCCCAGCCACCATTCAGCTTTCTTCCACTTCCAATCCTGGAGAAACCACTAGCGATAGAAACACTACTTGATGCCTGCTGGTGGGAAGCATCATCCATCACTGGGATTATGTTTCTCCGCCCTTTGCTTTTCGCAAATGACAATGTCTATTCCTTTTTCATCTCTACTTCAACAAAAAGGGAACATTTGTTATGGTAGTATGCCGAGATACCATCCTGTCTTACCTATATATGCATATCTGTCCTTTCTGCCCTGCATGTATATGGCATGGTTTGCTCTGTAACATCACTATTTTTTTCTTTTAACTCTAGCATAGCAAGCTAAGAATTGAATTCATGTTACTGCCTGCTGTTACTGAAAATCAATCAGTTAAATCCAACTTTGTCTACAATTTACTCAGGAAAGACAAGTAGCCACCTATTGCATCTTTCTAGCTGAAGACTCCAGTTCGATCCCCACCAACCGCAGCTGTAGTGGGATGTGTCTCTGCTGATTTTCTGGGTGGTGATACCTGGGTAGTTAGCCTTTATGCTGACTTTAGTAACCAATTGTCCCCACTCTTGAAAAAGGGAAGAAAAATGTAGTCAGTCCATTTTCATTCAGCGTGAGCGTGATGATTTTAGAACTCAATCTAGGTTAACCTACACATGTCAGTTCAGCAGTAGAGCAATTCAAGCAAACAAAATTGAAATACGATCTGAATTAACTGAAATACTTTCATTGATGATAGTTTAGTGTACACAACCAAACTAAACCAACACACGCTCTCTGTCTCACATTCACACACATATGCTCACACACTCACCATGTTCTAAACTTTGCTTAAAAAACAACATGTTGATTGTCACCCATAACTGATAGTATACACACATAATAACAAAATACACACAAGGGACATGATGAAATTCACATGACCCCACAGTGAGCCGCATGCTACCGTGCTTTTGGCCCCAAGAACATCCCTTACCATGCTATTAACTGTGAATCTGCTGAAAGCTATTGTATCCATTGCATGGCTCAGGAAAATGTCACATAACAGCTTCCACTGATGTCTTTAAGAATGACTTCTGCTGTACTCGGACTCTAAAGTGAACTACTCAAATTCACAAGCACATGTTCTTTCTGTGGCCCTCCATGCTCAAATTACTGGATTTTGCCACACAAACATGCTGTTGTCAGTATGCCGACTTCTATTTACGGGTTATGACTCTAGTTGTTGTACTACCAAATCTACAGATGGTGTTAGGGAGACTCCATTACTGACTATGAGACTGAAGCTTCAAATCCACAAATCATAAACTATTTCTTCCAGAAGCTCATCCAGTATGCAGTCCCATATTACTACAGTGACCTCTGCACTTTCTGATCGAAGATCCATCCAACTGCCACCTTCAAGATCCATGTTAACCAGCTGGTCTAACGTGCTTGGAAATTGATAATGGAGATGGCGCTCGACATGCTTATCGATTTCTGAGATAAGGTTTCGTCCCGCTGGAGGTGCCCTTATGCTGTGTCTGAGAGAAGATAAGCATGGAGGGTTTCTAAAGTATATATCCTGGATTTCCGTCACAGCTTCACAAATGCAGTCAAATAAAAGCTTCGTATCATCAATTTGATTGCCTTGATGTAGTTCTTTGAACAAGCAAGGGCTGATCAATTCATCTTCTAGATACCATACCTCTAAGTTCTGGTTGGTGCACAATTCTGAAAGCTCTAGTAATTCCTTTATGTAACCTAACCTGAGATCCTTGTCCTCCCAGTCCCAGAAAATCCCTTGGTCTGAACCATCCCCTGTGGTGTATTGTGTCCTCAAGATATCTTTGTGCAACTCACCTGTAGATCATTGGAGGACCAAAATAAATCATTTAAATTTTTAGAACACTCATTTTCTCAATATTAATGGAAATTGCAAGTTTGACTTTGAGTGAACTGACGAGTTTACATTCTATCATGTTTTCAGTGTCAGTACCGTCGACATCTTCATGGAAGAACACGTCAAGAACAGATACAGGACTCGGCTGCTCTTGCTTTTCATGGTTTCCATCAGGAGAAAATTGTGATATCTGTTCAATCGGTGCACTCGGTCGGGGAGTTGTGGGCTCTTGGCATTCTAGTTTTTCAAAGTCGTTCTCAGGGGAGCTTGGAAATGTTCCAACATGCACTTGTCCTGGTTCTGCTTCTTCCACCATATCCTTTAATGTAAAGTACACAAAACCATCAAAATAATAAAAGCTATGGAAACAAGATGGAACAACACTGAATATTCGCTGAAACATACTTGTGATGGTTTATATGTGCATTGCTTTGCTGGGGTGCACCATGCATTTCTATTTTTTTCCACGCAATCCAGCTTGTCAATTTCTTCAGTGCACAGAGTGTCAAGTTCAGCACCTGCAAATATTTTACCATATTTAAAAAAAAAAACAAGCATGTGTGCTGTTGAACCATTTTGCTAACTATGGAAGTTTTAACTTACCTTCTTGTGTTGTTTTTTGACTTTCTTCTTTGGCGCAACACCTTTCCTGAACAGCCTGCTCATGCAGTGCTTCACTAGGATCACACACAACACTCTCTGAAAATTCTCCTGACTGGCTTTCTTCTTTTAAAAATTCTTCTCTCTTTGACTTGTATATTGCATGAATGCCTGTCTCTTCGGGTGAAAGGTAAATGCAGTCTGTTGCCCTAGGGCTACTCCTAGGTGATGATGTGCTGGACTGAGGGAGGGAGAGCATCCTCACCAAGGACCTTGAGATCTGAAGTGTTGGGTGCTTGGTTGTTTGTCTTTTGTCCTTCAGAATCTCTGTTAGATGTTTCTTGGCCTCGTCATAGAAGACAGATTCATCCTTTGATGATGTAATTATGCTACTGTTAATTTCGGTTGATCCATCATTCCTTTTCTTTTGCCTACTGCTATTTGATGATCTAAAATCCTTTATAACTATAGATGAGGATTTCCCTTCCGAGGTCTGTTCAGCAAGCTGTCTGGTATCTTTTATTATCGTGAAAGCTGAACTTTTGAAACAATGTTGATCTTTTTTGAGGTTATCTTCAGACACTGAGGGTCTTCCTTTTGTAGCTTCACTAATCACGATTCTGAATCTCCTTCTGACTTCCTTAATTGAAAATTTTGAGCTTTCAGTTGCACCTAATTTTGGAGCTTGAGTTGAACTTACAGCCACAGCATGGTCAATCTCTCTTCTTGGATTTGGCTTCAGTATAACTATTTTGTTGACTGGCTGAGAACTACTACTGGTTCCTTCTGCAGTCTGCCTTCTGTTTGATCTTTCCTTCTTCCAGAAAAAGATATGCCTACTCTCTTTACCATGTGTCTTGGTGGCCAACTCATGCTGATTCAGACTCTTTGTATCTTTGTTGGAGTCGGTATTATCTGCCATTTTTGTGGGCTCTAGCCTGGTCCCTATCAGCCTGTTTTGGTGCCTTTGGACGCTCTCCAAAATATGTGAATTTGGCTTCTGAAGTAACTTCAAGAAAAGTTCAGTGTCTGAGCTTAGCATCTCCAGTGCATCTCTGAATTTTTTGGGTTGAGTTTCACTGCTGCTACATAGATGTTTGCCATCAGCAGTATCCTTTTCCTCACCCTGTGGAGTTTGCTCATAAGCAAGTGTGCAACGAGGATTATCTAACTCAGCAATCTTTGTTTGGATTAGGACCTTCAGCTCCGTACATAGCTCCCCATTATTCTTGCAATTTTTATGAGGCTGGTCATCATGCTCCCCATGAATTTGTCCTAAGAAATCTGCCAAGGCAAATTCAAGTTCATTTTCTTCTGCTTCTTTCATGCAGCTGGAACCAGTGGGATCCAAAGATCCAGATGGAGCAGCCATGGTGATACTTCTGCTGTGATTTTGGTTTCCCTTCGCTTTGCTGTTCTGGGTTGAACTTTTGTCCAGGCAGGCACCATGTCCCAGGTCAGCTAATATTCTCTGGACCTCATCATTTGGAATCTTCAGCTGTTTTACCTTTCCTAGCTCGTCCTCCATAAGTCTTTTGACTGTTGTTGGTTTGCTCGAACTGGATCCCTCCATGTTCTGAGAAACATAAGAGCACAGGATATGCAATTTTTTCAGAATATAAGCTGTAACACGTGCAGCTTAAAAATTACAAAAATGAGATAATGCATACAATTATATCAAGTGTTACATAGAATAGAAACTTGATGGAAACTAAATCAGTTCCAGTTTGATGCTTTATCATGCTAATATTACATGCAAAGTATGCCTGATTTTAATACACATTGGGTATCCTCTAACCCCTTCTATTGTTAACTAGAAACGTATCTGTGGGAGATATTAAAGTACACATGCTAGAAGAAGCACTAGTAATGGCAGGTGGAAAAGCAACTGCATATCAAGAATGGCTATGTTCATTGGACATGTGCTGCATCTTTGCGGCGTAAACAAAATCATTAAGCAGACTGTTGTAGTGATCAGCAAACATGTGACTAACTTTTTTTTTTACTCTGGAGAACATGAACACAATAACCATCGTGTTATAGATCTACATATACGAAGAGAACTTACATCGTCGTATTCATCTATTTCGTCCAAGTCCTTGGAATTCTTTCTTGAGTGGCTCCTTCCTGCAATCATGCTGGGTGCATCAGTAGCATTACAAATCCAGGAACCAAGATTGTAAATATGATATTTTTCCTCAGATGTCTTAATATTTTCCTGGGGGTGGGGTGGGGTCAGGTGGTCCTAGAGTCTAGTTTAGGAGGATTTTCTGGTGAAATCACAAAAAGTCAGAGCTCAAGGGAGAATGCCATATATTAAGATCATACTGACATCGAGCAATTGCAGTACCTATAGTACCATACTTTACTGACACAATTTCACGAAGCTGCCTATATCATATAAGAAAGCAATTGCAGTACCTATACAGCAATCCCTGTCACTTATGGCTTTGATCAACAATATCAGAATTCCATATATTATCGGGTAAATTGACAACAGTGAAACAACCATTTAAGTGTGATGACTTGAGCAGCTGGCGGCCTGGAGAGAGAAAATTACCAGGAAAGCCACTGAAAGTGTGCCTTCTGCTGCTCCCTTGCTTCCTGTCCAACAGGAGCTTATTGGCGTCATGGCGGGAATAGAACATGCGGATGAGGCCTGCCATGCAGCCTATGCGGCTGTTGTCCTGGCGTCGTATAAGCGGCTTCTGTCTTCTCTTCCCCATTTTGGTCTTCCTTGCCTATATAATTATTTTCCCAGTACTCTGCACTTGTAATTTGATCCCTTAAGCTGTCCTCATTGCTTAGTTCATCGAGCCAATTGATCTTTTCTGTAGGAAGTGGGTGTGGTCCCTGCGAGAGGAGATTTGCAGCCAGCCGATGAAGCGAGCAAACGGTAAAGTAGCCGGTATGATTTTTTTTGGGTATGAACTGTTGATTAACACAAAGATATGAAATCATGTAGTAATATAATATGTTAAAAATCATGTTGTATTTTGAGAAGGGAAAAAATCATGTAGTATTTTCAGGACGACCTACGTAGTATGAAAATACATACAGCTCAATTCCTGTGCTATTGGAATCAGTAATTGATATGGGCGCAACTGGTGGGCAAGTAGAAATGAAGAAGGAAACCCCAACAGCTAAGAGGCTAAGAGTTAGTCGGTGATGCAAAATGGAAGCAGTGACCTCAGAAGAGCAGAGCTGCACGTACGTACAGGGAGCGGAGCTTCGTTCAACGGCCGTGGATTTCAGTTGAGGCGGGAGAAGCCTCACCTCAGAAGAGGATGGCAGGACGACCAAGCATGGGAAGTCGTCGTGGCGGCCTGGCGGGGGCGGGGGCAGGGGCGGCGGCGGCGGCGACGAGACGACGACGATGGAGGAAGGAAGGAATCAGAAGAGCCAAGCTAGCAAGCAAGCAGTCTGTGGCTCTGCGCCGTCGGTGAGTACCCAGTGCGTGCTGCCGCTACCTTTGGGTCTGCTGCTTTTCCATTTCTGCCTCTAGCGGACGTACGTGTCAGTCTTTCTCCCCGGCCTTGCGATTTGTGAAGGAAGGAAGGAAGGTCAAGAAAGAAGAAGGAAGGAAAGGAGAAAGAAGAATGGAGGGTGCAGTGCAGCTGTGCAGGAGGGGCAGTAGCTCCCACCAAGCTATGGATGGCACTCTGGCGGCTCGAGGAGGAGGATCGGAGCACATGCCATGCCATGCACAAGCAAAGCGCACGCTAGCTTAACTTTTTCCCCACCTCCACCTGCAGCCGAAAAAGTGGGACTGGGAGGCCGGCCGGCCGATCCAGCCTTGGTAATTGCCTGCCTGCCAATAATAGTCCTGCCAGATGCCAGCCTGCTGATGCCAGCCTTGGTTTGTTGCGCGCATCACATAACATTCACAACTATGTATGTAACCTCGATCGAATTGGTTACCAACTCCCAGCTAGTGTTCAGCTAAACAAAGCACCACCATTATATATTTATATATAAAAATAAGAAGTAGAAATAATATTACCACCACCATCGCCAACACCGCGTATGCGTATGCACGGCAGTGGGTTGCAGGCCGCAGTGAGTGTCGCTCAACTCCCAACTACAAACAAAATATTAAGCAAAGCAGTGCTTGTCCCATTCTACAGTTTCATAATATATTTTCTCAACTCACCACTCCATATCTCTCGGTCTCTGTCACGTACCATTTTCCTATTCATTTGTCGGCATACGTATGTTATCAATGTTCTAATGTATTGCCTACCTAACAGTTACAGTAGCTGACCAGGTCTCTTCGGATCCACCTCAGCTAGCTATGTTTTAGTAGCTAATAACTATAAGCTGGGTGGATCAAATTAATAGGACCGAACAACTGTATATTACCCCTGTACCAAAAAAAAATTGATCTTATAGGTTTAGTCAAAATCAAAGTATTTTTAAGTTTCATAAAAAAATTATAGAAAGAACGTATCAATATCCATGATATCAAATTAGTACCGTTCTATTTGTTATGTGATATAGTTTCATATAGTTACCCTGTTCGCTTATGCTGAAATTTGGCTTATGCTGATGTTTATGCTGATTTGTTGTGAGAGAAAAACACTGTTCGTTGGCTGAAAAGTAGTTCAAACGAACGGGGGGAGTATTCCTTTTTGGTGTCCCATAAATGTTAATATTTTCTTTATAAACTTAATTGAACTTATGCTATTTTGACTGTGACTATGCGGGAATATGATTATTCCGAGGCGAATGGATTCAGGCTGCGCTGTTGCAGGCAACATAAGCACAACAAATTAACAATGTGTGGTATATATGGAGATGGTAAAGATGCACGGTCCGGGCCTCATGGCCGGCCATGGAGGATAGATACGATGAACAGCGTGCATAATTGTTTGTTTGCTACTCGATATATATATATATATATATATATATATATATATATATATATATATATATATATATATATATATATATATATATATATATATATATATATGTTCTCCATAGCAGGCCGCTCAATATAATGAGGCATTATTTGGTTGGGCTTTTGGTCGTGACTTTTGCTCTCAAGAATCAAAAGCTCAACCAAAAGACTCAAAAGCTGCTTTTATTCTATTACAAAATTAAAAGCAGCTTTCCTCCTGCTTTCAGCTGCTTTTGGTCTTAAAAATTACGCAACTGGTTACGCACATAACGATTCGTTTCTCTTTTCTTTCCCGTCTGCGACTGTTCCCGTCGAAGCTCGCGAGGAAGCGAGATGGCGCCGCCGCCGTGCGGCCCTCTCCAGCGGGCGGCGTGGACTTCCCCTACCCCGGCGTGGCCCCTCCCCCTCCCTACGGCGCTGCCTTCCCCTGCCCCGGCGCACCTGCGTGGCTCCGGCGGGCGGCGCGGCCCTCTCCGGCGAGCGGCGCGGCCTTCCCTGACCCGGCGCGCCTGCGTCACTCCGGCGGCGGCGCATCCTTTCCCGGCATTGGCGGCACCTGCTCCGAGCCGGTGGCTGCGCTGGCCCCTGCCCCGACGGCCAGTAGCGGGCGCGGGGCGGCCCCCCTCCCCTACGGCGGCGACGCGGTCCCTCCGATTGATAGATTGAAGACGATGCATCACCCCGCGTATGCATGACATGTGGGTCCCGTTCGTAAGTGAGACAAACTTTTCCAAAAGTCACAGCCGTTCAACCAAAGGGGCTTCCAACTTTTCCGCAACAGCTTTTACAAAGTCACGGCTCAACCAAACATGGTCTGATACGGTCGTTACTACTTACTACACGCTACGTAGCCACTAGAAGCCAAATAGATTGAGTTCTTAGGGGGGGTTCGATTTCGTAAGATGCGTGCCGAATATATAATCAGTTAAGCTGAGACTAGAGTTTCACTTTTACACGTGTTTTGCTTACATACGGAGTTACGGACCGATTGATCCATATACGGTGTGTTTGGTTGCATGATATCTATGGATGTGATAGATCATCCATGGATATCCAGTGTTTGGTTTGGTGGATTACTGAGATAAGAAAATCCCTAGACAGGGAATATACCATAAAATGCTGGATTTTCTGATTTGTAAAAATCTCACGGACCAGCTTATCCATGTCTTTTAATATTTGTCATTAGTAAATAAATTAAGGATTATTAGTATATTATATTATTACTTAGTAAGTTGAGGTAGGATTAGTTTCGATAAGTGCTAATACGTTGATTAGTGCATGTTTCGTGTGCTAATTAGGTTATTAGTGGTGCTAATTAACATATTTATTTTTAATTAGTGATTATCATGACAAAATTATTATTAGTGCATATTTATTAGTGTTTAATTAGTTATTATTATTTCTAAATAATAGATATAATTAGTCAACTACTCTCACCCCATCCATCTCCGTCCATCCAACCAAACAGAAAAATGACTCTTCCTATCCATCTAACCAAACATGTATCATGTGTATCCTTATCCCAATATCCATGGATCGTTATATCCCATCCAACTTCGTCCTCGAACCAAACGCACCCATAATAACTTGCGTCGAAACAGTCATCAGTGCTTGCTTCATCCATCCACTAGTGTGTGTGTATATATATATATATATATATATATATATATATATATATATATATATATATATATATATATAAGTTATGTTCTACCAAGTTAAACTTTATTTCTTAAGTTTGGCTAGCAACATGTAGATATTTCTGCTAGCAGGGGAGCCGGAGCCGGTCGTCACTTGCCCACTCCACCAACACCAAACAACATCTCGTCTCGTCGCCGTCTGTTGATGCGTTTTTATTGAGCTACGCCTGCAATGAAGCGCGGATCGATGATGGGTACCGTACCCCGTACATAGGAGTACTATCCATCGCTACGCAGACACACGTGTGCAGTGTCAGGCTGGGATCATGCATGGTGGTGGGTTGCCGTTACAGGGCGCTAGTTGCCTGTGTGTGCGACTGTCAGCATGTTCGGCAGCCCGTATCGTATCGTGGATTATTTATTGCTGGCTGGTTTAGTGTGAGAGAAAAACATTGTTTTTGGCTGGAAATTTACGATCGTTTACGAGCAAGCGAACAGGCTATGTGAGTATGGATCCTATTCCTATCAGTACTCCGCCTATCAATGTCCTGTTCATTTGGCTGATAAGCCATTGCTGAAAGTACTGTTGACTGATTTATTGTGAGAGAAAAATACTGTTCGTTGGTTGAAAAAATACGACTTATATAAATTATTACTCCCAATCCCAGCTGCTGTAATGTAACAGTGTAATTAAACGAGCAGCTAGCAGGGCCTGTCCCGTTGTCTGGAATCATCATACACTGCGTGCGCCAGTCTCCTCTGCTCGATCGATCGCCCCATGCATGCAGCAACCCCACAACTGCATAGTCTGCATGCATTTGCCAGCGTAAAAGGCTCGCTCGCAGTCGCAGAGCATCATAATTAATACTAATAATGGTCTCTCTCTATGAGACTGCCCCTACGACAGTGCCAGTCCCAGTCCCAGTGCGGTCATTATTTTCCTTTTAGCCACACGATGACACGACCACGCAGCAGTGCAGTGCAGGGGCACAATTGCCATTTCTTGGATCACCACACTACTCCTACAGTCGGTCCTACCACGCAGCAGTAGCCAGCCCAGCAGATTGCCAGATTCGCATTCACTCGCTTCGTTCGACAAGAGGCCAGACAAGCATGGTCCACTGATCACTGACCACCACCCTTTCTATATATATAATCAACCAATCAATCTATCGGATCACGGTCGGTCATCAGATCGATCTGGGCACAAAATCATACAAAAAAATCCTGCTCAATTCATTCAATATCAATACTTACTAGTGATCCTCTAGTCTAGTTATATACTGGAGAAATATCTACTATACTACTGTAGTAGTGGTGATTTCATTCCCACCATCCTTCAATATATGATTTATTATAACACAACAAACAGTCAACACACCACAACTAACTCTGTCTATGCATATAATATAACTCCCTGATCCTTTAATTTTCCGGTCTTCATTCATGTTTACCTATCTACTGCTATTCCTTTCTACTCCGTAGAGTATGCATGCAATTCAAACACTGCTCCAATTACCGATTGCATCAATCAGTCGTCAATCAGAGCTACTACCCAACCTGATCAGGCGGCATGCTGGCCACGATGGCCTGCATTTCTCTTCTCCTCCGCTTCCTGGCCCTCCGCATGATCTCCTGGCTCTCCTCTGCGCCCACCTTCATCAGGTCGCACTCCCTCTCACCTGCACCTGCACCTGCATCTGCACGCACAGATAAAAGCCCGCGTCTTTCTTGTTCAGTTCAAACCACGTACGTATCTATACTATAAGCTATCTGAATCTGAAATGCTCGCCCTCCAGTGTTACTGTTACCTGATCCCGATGACCTCAGGATCACGCAGGAAGCACGGACGTTGCTGTCATCGTCAGAGTCGTCGATGAATATCACCACCTGCATGCGCTTTGCAGTTTCACAAGCAACTCACCATCACAATTCACACACACGCTCATCGACACAAAGCCAGGCAAGCGCTTTTACCTTCTCAGTTGCCGCTGCCCGGCTGACGACCTTTGTATTCGCCGCATCTTCCTGTTTAGGTGTCACCCTGGATCTAGAACCAGTTAGCTTTTGGGGAAGAGCTTTCAGCTTTCCATCATCTACCTTCGGCTTCGGGTCTGCTGCTGCCTTTGCAGGGCAGACCAAAGGTGGTGCAGGATGCCTGCCATCAGTAAAGCAAGCCTAGTCACAACATCATACAATCATCAATCAAACTAAGACGCATAAAAAAGCAAAATCCAGAAAGCACTGTCATGTCTGCGATGCAGCTTAAAAACACCAAACCAATCGTTTAACTGAGACCAGACTAGAAAATTCTGTCATCGTCTTCCTTATGAAAAAAACGATGAGCATATCAAGACTCTTAACTAGATGCAACAAAAATGCCCTCTTATCAAATGTTTATGCTTCTAAGGATGGATGTTTATCAGCTTTCTGAAAAGCATATAGCAGTTTCTGAAACTTCTGCTCGGCAATACTCACCACTTAAATGCTCCATACTACAGGAATTGAACAAACAATAAAAACTGCAGCTGCCAATATAATGCTAGTATATATACTCATAAAGTGTCAGTCGTGTTAGTAATGCAACTGACAAGAAACAACTTAACCTTACATGATGAAAATCAGTGCAAATGGAAAAAAAAAGCCACGCTAGTACAATGAAACTACCACTCATAATTTCATATAGGAAAACCAATAAAACTGAGAAAATAAAATGCAAGGTTCGTACAACAAAACAAACATTCCACTGCAATAGCCTTTGAACATGCTGCCATTTCAACACTTGAACTGATGTCATGAACCAGATATAATGAAAAAGGAAGCAGCCTTTATAAAAGAACATGCACCCAATGATGAAATTTTAATCAGGTTTCAGGTTAGCACATAACAATATCAACACCCTTTTTTTTTAGGATATCAAGATTAGAGCAGCCACTTTGCATTTTGATTAACAACCATTAAGAGAAGTCCTAGTTCAATGCTCCATTCTACAAGAATAAAACATTATCTAATAACTGGAGCTTGTACGAAACTGAGTTGAGAATATTACACTTCCGGTGCGGGTATTTTGTTTGTATGGGTCCATCCACTTGCTACAGGTATTTGGTTCATCTGGGGCCTTCCGCTTTCTGCTGTTTTCTGCCTCATCATGGGTCTTCCCTTTGGTGCTGGTATTTGGTTTGTCAGAGGTTTCCCATTTGCTGCTGGTCCTTGGCTCATCAGGGATCTTCCATTTGCTACTGATGTTTGGCTCATCAGAGGTTTTCCATTTGCTGCTGGTACTTGGCTCATCAGGGATCTTCCATTTGCTACTGATGTTTGGTTTGTCAGAGGTTTCCCATTTGCTGCTGGTACTTGGCTGATCAGGGATATTCCATTTGCTACCGATGTTTGGCTCATCAGAGTTTTCCCATCTGCTGCTGGTGTTTGGCTCACCAGGTGCCTTCCATTTGCTGCTGGTGTTTGGTTCACCATGGTTGCTACTGGTGTTTGGCTCACCCGGGTTACCTCTGGTGTTTGGTTCACCTGGGGCCTTTCATTTCTATCGACCGGTAGTTGGTTCATCAGGGGCCTTCCATTGGTTGTGCATCTCTGATCCTTCAGTCAAGATGAAAAACATAGAAACTAAGAGACAGAGAGGAGATACAGATGGAACTTTGACTTGCTTACTCTAGTAATGAATACATACTGTTGGCATTTGGATTGCATCAATCTTACTGTTGAGAGATCTGACAGCTCTAACAATCTCTGCGCAAAGAGGCAATGATCAGCCAGTGTCCAAACAGTGGTTCTGTATTGTCTTTTTCAGCAACCCAAGTGACATGGTTTCAGAATGCAAAACGGAATGCGAGTGACATGCTTTCAGAATGCAAAATAGAATGCGAGATTGACCATATAATTTGAGCCATCTCCAAATTTGAGCTAGCTTGTATGTTTATGTGAAACCGAACTGACATCTACTGAGATGATAGGGAAACTCAGAAACTAGCAAGTTGGTAAGATAATTATTTGTGCGCACATGCCAACCATCAGAAGAACCCAAAAGACAAATGGAATTAATGAATTCACATTGAAATTAGAGGTGAATCATAGCACAAGAAACCCAAGGGCTACCTCTATGTCTTTTCTAAAAATTCTGAAGATGTCACTCTGCTGTTGCTTTAAATCTGTTTCTATTTGTTTCGGCAAGATTGAAAGGGTTGAGGATATCTCATCCAGTTTGTTGGAGTGGGAGTTCAGAACAGTCAGCTGATCAGAGATGCTTTTGGTGTTGCTCTCAACAAGCGCTTTGAGATCATCTTGTCCCTTAAGCTGCAACAGCATAAATAAATTAGTGAAACTTCGTTGTCTGTCAAAACAGAACGCAAGAGGATGAAGGACAGAAGCATCATTTATGCTTACATTTTTCTGCAGCGAAGTGTCTAGGACAACAAGCTTTTGCTGTATGCTTCCAGCTAAACATGACAAATGCATGCTTTCAGTGACGTGCGAGAACATAATTATAGTGCAAAAACTCATAAGCAAAGAGAAACTTCTGCAGTACCAAACTCAATTACCAATAGGACTTACAATCTAGTGCAGCTTCCTTCATGGCTCTGTTTAACTGCATAACGTCGTTTTGCACTGAATCGAGTACCATCCCTACCTTATGCACCGAACTTGCCATATGCTGAAATTTGCGCTCAACATCCTCAGCAGGAACCACACCTGTTAAAACACTGCCTGTTAGGCACACAAATCAAAATAGAGCTACAATGAAACTATGGAGCTCAATGAATAGTCAGGATACACAGTGAATGAGATAAGAAGAATGAATCTAATTAAAACACAATCATCTGCGGCGCCAGTTTTTCTGAAATACTACTATCCTCGTATGAACAAACTGAAAATTTTCTACCAAATGCAGCACAGGGATCTGGAGGATTTACATCTACCGTCAGGAAGAGAAGGGTTCCATCGATGGACAGGGTTGCTTGATGTTTTTGCCAGTTGCAGCTGAGATTCTTCTCGCACACAAGAAGCTGAGCTGACAGGCAACGATGGCATCTTCTTGGATGAGTCGTCATGTAACCCGAATCTCTGATCACCAAGCAAAAGAAAATGGAGGTCATAATTGTGCAATAAACCATAATTATACATCTTTGAAAACTAGTGAAGCACAGGTGCTCTAAGTGAAACATGAGCAGAAAGAGCAAAGAGCATTGTCACATTGGGCACTCATCATGCCTTCAAGAATAAAGCATAAGTCACTGTTGAGGGTGAAAGCTCTAGTTTGGTTTTGGTGAATTGATGAAACCCTAAGTGCTAACCTAGTTTATCTAAGTGATCATGAGATATGTAGCACTATTCCAAGTGGTGGAGCAATGGTAAAGATCATGATGATGGTGTGACCATGGTGATGATCAAGTGCTTGGACTTGGAAAAGAAGAAAGAGAAAAACAAAAAGCTCAAGGCAAAGATGAAACTTGATAGGAGCTTTTTGGCTTAGTGATCGAGACACTTAGCCAGTGTGATCACATTTAGGATCGATAGTCGTACTATTAAGAGGGGTGAAACTCGTATCGAAATGCGGTTATCAAAGTGCCACTAGATGTTCTTAACTCATTGCATATGTATTTAGATTCTAGTGAGTGCTAACACCCTTGAAAATGTTTGTGAAAATATGCTAACACACGTGCACAAGGTGATACACTTGGTGGTTAGCACATATGATCAAGGGTGGCAAAGTTGGAGTTGAGAAGGGGCTGTCTCGAAGTGACCGGACGCTGCTCTAGCAGCGACCGGACTCAGCAGCCGCGTCGTCCGGTCGATGGTGATGAAGGAAGGCCCCTCGGTCTTTTGATCGGACGCTAAACAGTGAATGTGACCGGACGCGCAGGGCCAGCGTCCGGTCAGAAGGTGATGCACGCTGACGTCAGTCGCGAAGCGTTGGAGCGTAGAGGAGAAGGGCCGGACTCTGGCCTGGGTCCGGTCACACCTAAGCGGACGCGTCCGGTCGCGAAAAATCGCCTCTGGATGCTTAATGGAAACGATCTGACGCTGAGTTATCGCGGGGAGCGGCGCGTCCAGCCGTTGGATGATGGCACGGACGCAGCTGTGAGCAGGTGGCCGGCACCCGCGGCGTCCGGTCCTGTCTCTCGTGGCGTCCGGTCGTTACTTGAGTGCTAAGCGCGAGGCGAATCAATCGATTGAGATCGCGCGGTGTATAATCAAAGGAAGGAACACGTGGCGCAGATCCGAGGACCGGACGCTGGGGTCCTGTGTCCGGTCAACCCGACCTGTGCGTCCGGTCGCCCCGTGGAGGCAGAGCAGTGGTGCCCAACGGCTCTACTTCGAGGGAACACCTATATAAGGCGTTTGGCCGACTCTAGCTCACTCTCTTGACCATTTGCATTGACATAGCAACCTTGTGAGCCTAGTCAAAGCCCTCCCACTCATCTCCATCATTGATTCATCATCTTTGTGAGATTGTGAGTGAATCCAAGTACATTGCTTGAGTGATTGCATCTAGAGGCACTTGGTGTTCGTGTTCATTCTTGGGATTCGCTTGTTACTCTTGGTGGTTGCCGCCACCTAGACGGCTTGGTGCAGCGAGGATCGTTGAGCGGAGGAAGGTGTTTGTCTCCGGCTCCAATCGTGGTGATTGTGAGGGGTTCTTCACCTTTCCCCGGCGGAGAGCCAAAAGGTACTCTAGTGGATTGCTTGTGGTTTGTGTGATCCTCATCTTGTGTTGGTTGCGCGGCACCCAGTTGCGGGTTTGACGTGTGATGCCAATTAGCGCGTGAACCTCCAAGTAAGTGAATCGCCACAACGGGGACTAGTTTGCCGGCAAGCAAGTGAACCTCGGAGGAAAAATCATTGTGTCTTGATTGTCTTATTGGTATTTATTGATTGATCTCTTGCCACGGCGGTATACCTCTCTACCACTCTCTTGTATTACGTTGTGCCTTTACTTGTGTAGAGATTGTGGTAATTGAAACTAGTTAGTGTAGCTGTTAGTTGTAGTTCTCTTGTTAGCTTGCTCACCTAGGTGTAAATTAGTGACTTAGCCTTGTTGTGATATACTAGAGATCATAGACTTTAGAATTGGGTAGGTGGTTTGCAACACAAGTGTAGTGCTAGCACAAATTCGCTTCGCCATCTTATTTACTAATCACTTGCCTTAGTGTTGTTGTAGAATTTTTAATAGACTATTCACCCCTCCTCTAGCCATTAGGACCTCTCAGAGGGTCAGACAATAACGTGACTAAATTGCATACTGCTGGACTCTCATAAGGGAAGCATAATTTCAAACAGACTCACACAGATTCACAATTTCAAACAGTCTCACAGTCATGGTGGGAATATGGGATCTACTCCCTAATAGCTTCAGTACAAGCTGTATAAGAGAGATCAGAGATGTCAAGATGGTGCTCGTACCAGAGCAAACACTTCTACTGATCGGAATTGATTAGACAGCTAAACTGTTGGAAATTGGAGAATATCTGTGCACTGTGGTTTTGCATCCTACAAAATTTTGGCAGAACATGCTTTTATGAATTTCTGCGATTAAATGTGGCAACGCATCAATTTGAAGTGTTCCTTACACGTATCGATGAAGCACAACTGAAATCACCTGAAGCAACTAATCCAGAACGATCAACCTGCTATAACTAGCACGATAATCACATAATCCCCCCAAACCACTAATCGCCCTTCACGAACTCACTGATGAAGCAAAATCGCTAATCCCGCTGATCGCACATGAGAGCACAACGGCTCACATCCCCGATCAGCACACATGAACAGCGACGAGAGGGAGGAATGAGTGCAGACGGGACCTGATCGCGCGCGGGCGAGGCGAGGTGGAGGCTGAGGAGGTTCTCGTCGAGGGAGGCCTGCGAGAGCTGCGACTGCGAGTGCAGGAGCGACGACGCGCCGCCGCTCCCCACAACGCCCTGCGAGAAGGACTGCTGCGACATCGGCTGCGACCGCTGCTGCGACCCCGCCGCCACGGCCGCAGCGGAGGAACCCGCCCCACCTGCGCCGCCGCTCCCTCCGGTCCTACTGAAAGCATCAGAAACACAGGACGAAGCGATCGCATGTGTCAAAACAACGGGAGCAGCCGTGGCGAAAGGGGACGGAATTGTAGAGCGGGGAGAGCGGGGATTTCACCGGGGAGGGAGGACGGAGATGGAGCCGAGGTCGCACGCCTTGTTGATCTTAAGCTTCATGGCCTGCTCCCCGGAGCGGGCTCGAGCGAGGAGGAGGTGGCGGCCGTGGTGATTGCCGGTGAGAGAAGAGCAGCCGAGCAGGAGCAGGGTAATGGAATGGGAGGCGCTGCGAATTTGAATTCTCTGCTCTGCCTGGCTGGCCAACAACAGTTATATACGTAGGCCGTATCGGTATCGCCCACCCTGCCTGCCACGTGGGCCCGTGTACAAGGCAATTCTGTTCGGCGACCGGGCCCACTTGACGTGCTGTACGAGTACAAGCACTACTTCTCTTCGCTGGGTGCCAGTACCACTGACACCTGGGCCGAAAACGTTTTTTGGGGGAAAAAATGCATGGCGCATCATCTGAATTTGTCTCCTGAACTGAACGAACCTATACAGAAGCAAAACGAGGAAAGGAATCAAACCACGTCATAATATGTTCAGATTGTATACTTTGGCATATGGTAGAACATCAACATACCGATAAAATTTGGATCTGTACAAACTACAAGGCAAAAACTTGGTGCCTTGGCGCCGAGCTGAGCAACGGCTCTGCCAGTGCTCTGCACTACGTACAAAGCAGAGACATTGCTGCTGCAGCAGATAAACAGTTTCAGATATCAAGCAACAGCAGCATGAAAGAATTTGGGTCTATTCTTACATGGCAAGGTGCAAACCACATATTTTATTTTATTGCTTTGAAACAACAGATCAGCAAAATAACATCAAGAGTGTTCAGTGTTCTTGTGGTCAGGAGCTCGGGGCTAGTAAGCAGCAGCACGTTCATCTTACTGCTCTACTATATGCTGTGGTCGCAAGGGAAACAGATACTGACACAGTACATATGCGTGAGGTCTGTAGTCTACCTCAGGAACCCAACTCAAGAGGGATCTGCAAAAACAACAAGTAAACAAACTATCGCACCCATTAACTGTAATGATCTGGGGATCTGCCAAGGCAATATCTGTGGACAACCTGCTACTGATTAAGTTGCACGGTCCAACCCATCCAGTCCTCCACATTGCCCATCTGGAGGCTTGTAAGTGACTTGTATAGTTGCTGAGACACGACACCGACTCCTTGGTTGCCATATTCCACCCTGCAAACCAATGCCATAGGATGTCAGATTCCAACATAGCTGCACATTACTCTGTCAGTTTCCACTTTCTACAAATCGAGAATGCAACAAGTATGATTGTGGTTCTGTAACTTCATTAGCAGTTTGTCCTCTTAACGGAATACATGCTGAGGCACGTTCACGAAAAGAAACTTCACTTGCAGTGGTCAAACTTGTCGCTGTTACATAAGGCAACAGTCATCAGCCTCAGTGAACGTTACCACCCACACACTTATACTGGATTCCATGTCAAATTACCTTTTGCTTTTGATAAAAACAGCAGAAAAGACCTCGGTCCAAATGGCTGGGGCATAGCATACAATGCTACGTTCAAGGATCGCAAGAAAGGAACTTATGGGGTGTTTGGTTTGAGGAATGAGGTGGTCACCATCATCTTCTCATTCCTGACTTTTTTCGTTTTTTGGTTCGTGGAATGGAATGGGTTGATCCATCACCACCTCATTACTCACAAGCTAACAATTAGTATATGTATGAGGAATATGTTGATTCCACCAAAATTCATGTGATGAACTCATGATGCACCACCACATCTAGTATGGGGTGGTTCCTCAAACCAAACACACCCTTATATCATGAAGATGTCATGGCAGGTAAAATCAAGGTACCAACATCCATATACCAGCATTTCCAAGAAAAAAGAGAGAGAGAAAGGGACAGCATACAGAAGAAATGATTACACAAAAGTAATCCATGTTTTTTGAGGCACTGTGGCACTGGGGTATGCTTGGATGCCTAGGTGATATGATGTAACTAAAACCTTGTGGCGTCCTGTGGCACCTGGGGTATGCCTCAACGCCTAGGCGACTCAGAAACCATGAAGTAATCACAACAGTACTGTAAAAGATCATAACTAGTGCAATAAATATTTGAGTATTTCCAAAATCGATTTGTTCATCATGCTTTATTTCAGTATTAAACTCTTGTTGCTATTGCAAGAAAAGGAAATGTCCTATCCGAGAGAAAAAAAGTGTTTTCACAAAAAAAAATGTCTAGTTTATCACACATGCATACTCAATAGAAAATAAACTTGCAAGGCAAGAGAGAAAGTGTCACCTTTTCCCCATATATGTAACGCTCCCCACAGGTGACACCACAACAGCAGTCCCCGTGCAGAAAACTTCATCAGCGTTAAGCAACTCATCTACTGACACCAGGCGCTCCTCAACCTTACAAGAAGCCAATGCATTAGTTAAGACTGCATTATATTGGAGGCAGCATATGATGAGCTGAGCCTAGTTCACATATCCTTCTACCTCTGCTAACAAGTTACACGCCCAAAGTATTTAATGTGTTAAAACTGTAATGTATGGCCACTTAACTTGCAGCTAAAATGATTTCACATATCCTTCTACCTATGCTAACAAGTTACAGGCAAAAAGTATTTGGTGTGTTAAAACTTAAAACTATATGTATGGCCAATTAACTTGCAGCTAAAATGCACTGATATAGCAGTCATTTCTTCCCCCCATTTCTTTAAATCCATGTGATTGACAAGTAAATTACCTTGAAGCCTTTGCTCTGAGCAACTTCAATGATACTTTTCCTTGTTATACCAGGCAGTATTGTTCCTTTAATGGCAGGAGTAGAAATAACATTGTCCTGGCGCAAAAAGACAAGAAAATAAGCCCATCATGGCATTGTCCCATAAAATAGTATGTTAATCAACCAAAGGATGTTGCATAGGTTAAAGAAAAAGTCGTGGATAACTAGAATGCTGATAAAATGGTGTGGTTATCACTACTACATGCCTTGAGCACTAAAGTCTACTCTTAACTGCAGCTATGAAGGAGATATACTGCCAAAATAGCAAAGACATCAAAGTGAAGGATCATACTTTCACAACAAAAATATTGCAGGAAGAGACTTCTTCAAGATATTTGTCATGAACAGCATCCAAGTAAAGGACATCAGAATATCCTTTCCCCTTTGCAACCTTTTGTGCTTTCAGTACCTATACGGTGATGACAATGTATGTAATTAAGTAACCAAACTGGGGCTTTTATAGAAATTTCATAATTGCTAATTCATAAAGTTACCGAGGCATAGTTTCCAATGGTTTTCACGCCTCCAGTTCCACCAGGGCTGGCACGGTGAAATTTCTCCTCAACGATCAAATTAATAGGAGATAAACCTTCCTGTAGAATAAAATGAACAAAGGCAATCAACATATATACTGGCATTGTTGAAACAAACTATTTTAGATGCGTGACAAAAGGAAGAGTTCATATTCTACACTATCATCACTAAGCTATCCTATATCACTGTCCACTGAGCAGGAAAGAACACAGGTTGTAACGATTTGCTCTAGGTCCAGTTTACATTTTGGATGAGTGCCTAGTGCCTACAGATTTTGGTGGAATTTAAAGTAAAAGGAAACTCAATACGGACCTTGAAATAATTCCCAACAGGGGATACAAAAATGATAAAGCTATACTCAGGAGCAGGTGCAAGACCAAGAACAGCCCCGCTTCCTATTAGGAGTGGCCTGATATACAGGGAACCTTTACCAGTAGGAGGCACCTAGAAACATGATATGTTTCATTTCAAGGGAAAAAAAAGATATGTTAGCAAGGGGATAATGGTTCACTAAATAAAGTATTATTGAATATGTAGCCTAATACTATCACCTATGAAAACATGAATTACTATTACTAACCCATCTTTTATTTGCCAAAACAGTTTGTTTAACAGCATCAACGAATTGCTCAACAGTTGGAGCAGGCATACACATCCTCTCTGCACCACTTATCATCCTTATAGCATTCTCCTCTGGACGAAATAGAAGGATGGACCCATCAGTTTTCCTATATGCTTTTAGGCCTTCAAACAATCCCTGCGTACCAGAATAACATAGAATAAGCATACTCAATACTAGTAGGCCTTCAAAGATACCTAATTGCCAGGTTATAGTTGTTCCAATCCAGTAGAGATATAGATATGAAACAGGGTGGGAAGATTCCCTACTAACCTGTCCATAGTTTAAGACTCCAGCAGAAGGACTCAGTGCTATAGGACCAAAAGGTAGGACTTCACCTTTGGAAAAGATTCCATCAGGTCCACATTTCGCAACATACATAAAGTCAGTCTCGATGAGGCCAAAGCCAAGGTTATCCCAGTCCAAACCAGTGACCTCTGATGTTTCCCTGCTAAGAGTTAAACCATCAGAACATAGCTTAAAGTCATGAGGGTATTGCTGGGTATGGATTTAGCTGATCCACAACCATATGTACCAAAATGATGAAATGCACATAAGTAAGGATACTGCTTTGGTTTCAGAATTACATACATGTAACTTGTTGCCACAGAAGCATGGCATTTTGCCGTGCTAGGAACCTTGTAACAGAGACTTGGCATCGAATAAATGTGGTTCTGGATCTGCAGAACAAGAAAAAGATGAAGCAATTCTTCTATTAGATCACGAGGCTGGTGAAAGTAGTAACGGTGGGAGTAGTTAAAGTTATCTCGATTCTTTAGCATCTTTACGAGGAAAAACAAAAGCAAACTAGGTGAGTCCATTTGAAGTGATCTGGGATTGATTAGACTTCTCAGGTGGTCAGGCCAGGGAGTGGGAGGTATGATGGGGTTATCCAGGAGGACAACGGCAAGGGAGTCTCTGCAAAATTTTTCAGTAGGTCAAGCAATATACTTTAACCTCTCTTTTTTTCCCTATTATTAAAAAGAAAAGGAGCAGCTAAAGTGCCTTCCAGGTAGGTGACTTTGTGCGCCTGCTTTGCGCTGTCAACAGTCAATCAGGCACAAACAAAGTGGCAAAAACACGAGAAACAAACTATATATCTAATGACATCGCAGTTGTATATATATGTAATACCATGGACCGTGTTCATTCAGCTACCCAATCTGTTTCAATGGTGGCATACTG